TGAGAATTCTAGGATAGAATCAGGGCTTGGAAAAATTACCCAGATCGATTAGTAATGCCTGCCAGGCACATGTGTGATTTTATTCATATTTTACTTTTGCCACTTCTTACAGTGTTTTAAAAGGGGCGCGGGTATGGAATATTGATAATATTTTAAAAGGGAAGGAAGGGAGGGAGGGAAGGGGGGAGGAAGGGAGGGAGGGAGGGGAAGAAGAGAGATGTAGAAAACTGCTCAAAGGCGGTACCTTCCAGCTGAAGAGAGGTTTTCCAAAGAGAAGCAATCAGTCTACCTGGAGAAAAAGCCTGAGAATGGCGGTGGTTCACCGGGGACCTCTGTAAAGGCAGTTGCAGGTTTGCAGTGCAATGGAAACCCACGTGCAGAGACTGAGAAGTGAATAGTTCCGAATTTTTCTAGAACTCTGAGTTCCCTCTCATCCCATTCTGTTCCTTTACATGCACTAACGCATGTTTGGTCCTGGGTTCGCTTCTTTGTAATTATGAATTCCAAAATTGCAGTTCTAGGCTGTTGGTTTCTAGCATATCCACATTTCCAGGAGATGACTTTTCTCTACCAACACAGAGAGTGTGAGAGCCCCGTTCATTATGTTCATGCTCAGCCGCACCTACTTTGCCAGCCTTCCTTTGGTGTATTTGTTTTGTTTTACTCCTGTTAAATAGTGTCTCCTATTTCAGTAACAAAATGTGCTATATCTATGCAGTATTGACAACTGCTCGGTCAGATTAGTGTCCACAGCTTTCTTCAATTAAGGTCCAATGAGTTCAGAGCTGACAGGGTCTAAGTTATTCATCAACTATTCTGTGTCTTTTAAACTTTTTAAGAATGTTTTTAAAACTATGAGTTGGTTCAAATAGTTAGTTATATCCCATTATAAATTATTCCCTAAAGAGTATTTAATCTAAGTCACAATGTGATTGAAAAGGAGAAATGAGCATGTTCCCCAAACATGCTTGTCAATAAGAGAATTCACTAAAAATGGAGTCAATTGCATGCACAATTCTGAAGCTACCCAGTAGTCATTGGGTACCACTTGCTGCAGATCTTGGCTGAGAACCTGGAAATACCAGTTTCTGTTCCCACATCCAGCCTTGTTCTAGAGAAGTGGTTGCACAGTGTTTTGCATTAATCTGATCTTGCCACACTTTGATACCTCTGAACAACAACAACAAACAATTAAATCAGGAGTCAGAGAAATGGAAAGAAGCTAAGTTGGGAAGAATAAACCAAGAGTAGATGAGAACCCTGTCTGTTCTCCACTGTAACAGTGATGAGGCACCTGACTTACTGGGCCATGGAGGTGAGTTGGATCTCTAAGCTCTTTTCAGTCTGAGCAGACTGGTTTTCTTTATGACAACTCATGAGTTGGTCTCTCTCTCTCTCTCTCTCTCTCTCTCTCTTTCTCTCTCTGTCTCTTGTGTGCTTTTGTATGTTGAAACAGGCTCTCTCTCTCTCTCTCTCTCTCTCTCTCTCTCTCTCTCTCTGAGCCTCCTGCCTCAGCCTCTAGACTGCTAGGATTGCAGGCATGCGCCACCACTCCTGGCTTCAGGTTTGAACTTAATATCATTTAAGGGAAAGAATACATATGAAAACTCACTCCAAACCAAGTGTTAGAAAGTTCTTTAGTCACTTTTTAAGCTACAAGGCCATTGTGAAGATAAGTTGCCATCAGCTGAAAGAGGCTGGAATAGTCAAATCATCCTTGTACAATTCAGGATGAAGAAATGTCCTCTGATAGGAGTCATTACATAACTATTGTGCCTATGTCAAAAGCTTGTGTAACAAGAATAAATGAATCGGTATTACATATTAGCTTAAAATTTGTGTCATATAATTTAAAGTCAAGATCAAAGCTCTAGAGACACAAACTTCCAGTTCATTACTTCCTGAGTATGTTAACAATACTTTCTCCATTTATTTTTATGTCTAGTAAATACTTAGTCTTACTTGGAGGGAGTCTTAAATCTAGACAGTCTAACACAGATCCAAAAGTTTCCTTCTGTCAGACAAGACAATTTTCATTCTCTGAGTCTTAAGTCTCATTAAGAGATATGTGCTCTACTACAAAGCTACACTAAAACTTTTGTTGTTGGTGGAAAATTTTAGGGCACTATCTTACCATCTTATCCTAAATACTTAAAAATACAGCTCTAAATGGCTGTGTGACTCTTCTTTTGCTTTTGCTAAATCTAAGTAAACTCACCTCTGCTTGCCATTTAAGTTGAGTAATAATAATTTATTCAATTTTTGCTGTATTCTAACTGTACCACCTATTTTACATAAATTATCTCATTTAACATTCACTATAATTTCAGAAGTAAATATCATTCTCCACATTTTACAGATGAGGGAAAGAAGGCTTAAGAAAATTAAAATGCCAAAAGGCAAAGCCAAACTAAAGTCACTTCTCTTGAGCCTTGTGGGAGTGAAGAGATGACAGATTGAATGTGAACAGTTGTCAAATTCGGGAGAATAAAAATCTGAATGTTCCAGAAAAATCAGCAGTAGTGAAATTCCACTCCCTGCTGATAATTTTGAAGAGCCTCGGGAACTCAATAAACCCTCAGTGATTGACAGCTGTTTGATCCAGCCTGGACTTTGATGGAACCATTAGTAACAACGAGAACTTCATCATGATAGCAAAAATAAACATTATCCTTTTTCTCTGAAGAAGCAACCAGAAGCTTGGACAGGTGAATGTTTGCAGAAAAATCACATGACCCATAAGAATGAAGCCCAGACTCATGTACCAGTCCTCCATACACTGTCCTTTCCTAGGTGACAGTGCAGTTTATAAGTCCCTGAAGCCATTTTGAGTGTTGACTTCATTGTTTAGATTCCTAGGACCTACTAAGAAAGTCTTGGACTTCCCTTCAAATCTTGGTATTCTTAAATTATACATTTGACCTTAGATATAACCTTGAATGAGACATAGCTCTGTTCCTACTGGCAGAAACAGAAGTTGTGAACCTTTACACCCATAGAGCCTAGAAATGACAAGGGATGATGATGTTGGCACCTCAGTGATAGAATGAATACTGAATACTTGCTGAATACTGAATCCTTGGAATTAGAAATATGCCTGGTACTTGGAAACAATTCTGTAATTGGGAAAGAAGGAAGACAGAGCAACCACTTTCAATGTAGACCAGTGGCCTTCAGACTAGAAAGCATAAATTCTAAAAGGAATGTTGGCTGATTCATAGAGAAGGGGAAGAAAATACCAGAATTTCTACACCAATTTCTTATCTCATCAATTTTTTATTTCTATCTTATCTTATGATGCATATAACATATTAGCATAGTGATACGACTACACATTTTACAACTAGATGTACTAAATAGCCATGATTTCTTAAGTGGGAGAGATGTAGATTTATTAAAGAAAAAGGAGTGAGAGTAAGAGGGGCTCTAATGGAGAAATACCCAAATTAACTATATAAATATTAAGATTATTTCACCCAAGAGGTTTTACTGTTGGGATCTATAGTGACTCCTAAAACAATATATATTGCCAATGTAGCCATCAATTGCCTCTCAGGAGTTGAGTGTTGATTGCTATTACTGAAGACATTGCATACTTAGAACACAGGACTCTGGGTGATTTAAGCTAGATGTGACCTGAAAAGGCTCTTTCCTGTAGTCTAGCCTCCATGATTCTAGAAAGTATTATGCAAGCCAAGGGAGGGTAGCAATTCTGTAGCATAATGAACTATGACAGCATGGTGAGATATGCATAAAGGTGCAATAAGTTGCTGTGGAATAACCCTTTTGCACACTGTGAAGATTTGTCACTTGGATTGGCTTAATTAAAAACTGACTGGCCTGTAACTAGGCAGAAAGTATAGGCAGGACATCTAGACACAGAGAGAAGTCTGGAAAGAAGAAGGGCAGAGTCAGGGGAGTAACCAGCCAGACACAGACAAAGCAGGACATGTTAAAAAAAAAAAAAAAAATGAGGTAACAAGCCATGAGCCACATGGCAAAGCATAGATAAGAAACATGGGTTAATTTAAAATGTAAGAGTTAGCTAGTAATAAGCTTAAGCTGCTGGCCAACCATTTGTAATTAATATTAGCTTCTGACAACAATAAGTGTTGGCACTTACATGTTGGTTGCAACCAAAGCTGCTTTAACAGGAGAGGGATATGCCTGATACTGGAAATGAAGCCAAGGAAACCATGGACCTTAGAAGGTAGGAAAAAATCTCCTACCACCACTTTGCTAGACCATCATAATCCCTTACTTCGTTCTAGTACTTGTCCTTATATCCACAGATAAGTGTAGCTACCACCCCTCATCAAAATAACCTCTCGTTATAGAAAATCGAGACTATCACATAAAAACACAACTGGAACCAATGCAGAGATCAACATCTCCTGGGTCACCCAGCTCTAACTGACAAATCTGCATCACAACACCTGGATCTATGGCTCAGGGAAGGTTGAGAAAGAGGGGGTGGAAAGAGTGTGAGAACCAGACTACAAAGAAGTTTGCTGTGAAATAGCATCTCTTAGATATGGCTGCATAAACAAGACCTGAACAACAGCAATATCAAAGGACAGATTAATGTGGAAGGGTGAGAATTTTGAGAGGTCCCACTCCTAAACAAAGAACTACAGGCAACAAATTGCTGGGAGAAGAATTAGCTTCTCCCAGAGATGAGCCCTCTTATTGTTTGCTCAGTGCAGAATAGTGAGACAAAAATCACACAAATAGAAATAGACTCGATGGGTTATATTTATGCATATTTGTGTATAAACATTCATGTGTGTGTTAACAATAATAAAGAAAAAGAGGCTATTAACTTGATTATGGAGGGATATGGGAAGGGCTTGAGGGAAGGAGCTGGGAGGAAGTAAGAGAAAAGGGAAAGTAATATAATTCTATTTCAATCAAAAACATATTTTTAATGTCAGAAACTTCTAGTTAAGATCAGCTCATTTGTCTTGGCCTCTGTGAGTCCTATAAGGGGTCAAAAATACCTGAAATGGTTGTTTTTAAAGATGAGTAGCTTTAGGAATCTCTTGAGTCGTTTTTTAACAATGCTGGTTGTCCCCTTCTATACTAATCAACCCAGTAGATATGTCTGTAGTAAGATCCAAAACCAGGTAAATCTGTGAGGTGTTCTCACATCACAAGGCTGTAGTGGACAGGGGACTCCACTCCTCCCACCGTTGTCACCTGTCAGCTACACCAACGGAGTTCTGAAAAACAAAGAATTCTCCTAGGTAGAAATAACTGCACATTAGCTACGAACTTCATGCCTTGGAAAAACAAATATAATGGTGATAAAATGAGATAGAATTTATTGATTATCACTTAAGATAGTTTATTTCTGATCATTTTTATAATCCTGCAAAGTTGCTATCATCTGCTACATAATACAGAAAAAATGGTCCTTAGCAAGGCTAAGTATGCTGCTCAAAAATTTCAGTGACTTTTGTATAAGCTCTAGGCTCAGAAGAAACTTTCTTTACCACCTTCCAACAGCCATGATCCCACTAGCATGTAGGACAATGGTATTTATGCTTTTGATCTCTGTGCTGTCTGCTGTATTCAGATTAACAACTCTGAGGAGGCTGAGAATTGGACTTCCTGTTTTTCCACTGCAGGCCCATTATCTTGTCTTTGTTCCTAGTAAGCCTGGAAAGTCCCAAGAGGGTTTACTGATATTATACTATAATGATCTTCCCATGAAGAGATATTATAAAGATAATAACTCTTAATACAAGTAGTCTACTATATTGAATTTCATTTCTCAGGCCCTCAACTGCTGTTTGTAAAGTTAGAAGGCTTAAGCTAAATGCCCATTCAACTCTTCTATCCCCAAATTTAAACAATTAAAATTGACCTTGGAATTTCACAATACAAGCAGTTCTTTATTTAAAAGTCTTCTGGTTTCAGTATCAGAAGTATTACCAGCTTTCCATATCTTTTCCAGTGCAACCCTCATGTGCTTTCCTGTAAAAACTATTTAACCACAGGGGAAGTCCATACCATCCTCTACTACAGTGACTATTAAGGGCATTAAGCTGTACATTACTGGTAACAAGACTGTTAAAATTTCCCAGCTAAGCTGCATCTAGATTCCCGACCCTCAGAAACTAAGTTAGGGGCTGGAGAGATGGGTCAGCTGTTGAAAGCCCTGGCTGTTCTTCCAGAGGACCAGGATTCAATTTCTAGCACCTATATGATGACTTACAACCATCTGCAACTCCAGTACCAGGAGGTCTGATGCCTTCTTCTGTAGCAGGCTTTCTCTTTTGGTCCACCAACCAGCTCCTAAATCATGACACAGAGACTTATTAGTTTTGAATGCTCAGCCTTAGCTTAACTTGTTTCTGGCTAGCTCTTTTAACTTAAATTAACCTGTTTCTCTTTATCTACCTTTTGCTTCAGGGATTTTTACTTCTTCCTTTCTGGATATCTTACTTTCACTGCTGCTTATGTCTACCAGCTGGTGGCTGCCTGGCTTCTTACCCCAGGCATGTCCCTTGTTCTCTCTTCTTTTATTCTTCCTAGGTTTCTCCTATTGATTCTCTCTCCCTGACAGCCCCACCAAGCCTTTCCCTGCCTAGCTATTGGATGTTCAGCTCTTTATTAGACCAATCAGGTGCCTTAGGTAGGCAAGGTGAAACAAATGCAACACACCTGTACATAATTAAACAAATGCAGCAAAAGCAAAAGTAAAACCCTTTTACAAAGTTAAAGTAATGTTGCACAGCATAAACAAATGTAACACATCTTTGCCCAGTTAAAATAATATTCCACAACACTCTTCTGGCTTCCGTGGGCACCAGGCACACATGTGGTACAGAGACATGGATACAAGCAAACTACCCATACAGATATTTTTTTTAAAAAAAGGAACTAATATAACAGATGTCTGTATTAAGTTTAAATATATACATAAACAACAATACTCTAAGGACTTACTGTTGAGATAAATCAGCCCAAGCCAGCTCTCAGAGATGTGAAGACCAAATATAAAAGAGTGTTCTGTGGAGTCCTGTTTATAAATCAGCAATCCTCAAAGTAGCTAAGAAGTAACACATTTCTCCCTTCCTACAGAGCTCCTGGGTCTAATCAGCAGGAAAGGTTTAAGTGAAACTTTAGGTCTGTACTCCGACTATAAACTCACTGCTAATTGCTAATACCTCGTATGAGATTACTCTGACACTAAACTCTTCAGCAAAGGGAACAACCCTTGATCCTCAACATCTGGGCATAGTCTGGAGTCTTCAGGGACCTCGGTTGACTTATGTGCTCTGTAAGGATGACATTTATGTTGTTGGGCCATTGCTTTGATTCTACTCTGTTGAACAAACTCCTTGGAATTCACACAAGGACCACGTCTTTCATCTTGACCTCCAAAAGGCAAGCAATCAAACAATATTTTAATCAACTAAGGAATCTGTGTTTGGACCTTAATTGTGTTCCTTTGGATGCTAGAGAGAAGCCTCAGTAATTAAGTGTGCATATTAGTCTTCCAGAAGACCCCGCATCAGTTCCCAGCTCCTACATAAAGCAGTTCACAACTGCCTGTATCTCCAAGTCCAAGAGGTCCAAACACCCTCTTCTGGCCTCTATTAGCACCCACACACATGTGGCACACATACACCCATAAGTAAAAATAATACCTGATTGTGATCATAAATGCAACTGTAGCATGATAAATAAAAGACTGATATTGGGGTTCAGGCTTCAAGCTAAAGATCAGAGAAGTAAAATAGCCAACCCAACAGATCTTACATCTACCCAGCTGAAATGGCAGTTCCTGTTTCCACAAATCCTCAGAGGCAAAAGGCTCTCTGATCCTGTCTCCTCCTCCTTATATTCCTGTCTCCACCTCCCTAGTGCTGGGATTAAAGATGTGTGATCCCAGGTGTTGAGATCACCTTTGTGTGATCTATTTCTTTTAGGACTGGATCAATTTCGTGTAGTCAGTGTGCCTTTGAACTAACAGAGATCCATCTACCTCTTAATCCTTAGTCCTGGGATTAAAGGTGTCTGGCTTCTACGGCTAACTAGTATGGCTGCTTTGCTATTTTGATCTCCAGTGGCTTTAATAAATCATAAACAATATATCACCATGTGCAACTGGTAGGTTATTTGTCTAGGTCGGCTATCCAATGGAATGAGACGAGAATCAGCCTTGGTTTTACTTGTTCCAGATGGGCCTTAACCACAGAGCTCATTCTCCAACTTCAAGAGAATTTTGCTGTGAAGCAATGGCACCTCTGAATGAAGAATAAAGTTGACTACACACCAGTATTACTAGTTCTTTAAAAAATGGTTATTAACTTCCTTCTCAATATTTTGCAAGTTGTGGAGTTTGGGTGATTGTTTTGTCGTTCTTTAAATGTGTGTTGTCCGTATGATATTGCTCAGACAACATCTGGTAGTTTTGTGATAAAGGATTCTGCTTTCTCATTCTTCCTGCTCTTTTATCACTGTATGCATTTTTCATTGAGCTTCAGTAATGACAGTCTTCAATGGTTTGTCATCATTTAAGTCTATAACTGTGGTGATGTGAATAAGAATGCCCCCAAAGGCTCATGTATTTGAACTGTTAGTCACCAGGAAGTGGCACTACTTGAGAGGATTTGAAGGATTAAGAGAAGTGGACTTGGAGGAAGTGTGTCACTGGGATGGGATTTGAGGTTTCAAAAGCCCACACCAAGCCAAGAGTCACTCTCTCTCTCTCTCTCTCTCTCTCTCTCTCTCTCTGTCTGTCTCTCTCTGTCTGTCTGTCTCTCTCTCTCTCTCTGTCTCTCTCTGTCTCTCTCTGTCTGTCTCTCTCTTCTGTCTGTCTCTCTTCTGTCTGTCTCTCTCTCTGTCTCTCTGTCTCTCTGTCTCTCTCTCTCTCTCTCTCTTCTCTCTCTCTGTCTCTCTGGATCAGAGTGTGGAACATTCATCTACTTGTTCAGCACCATGTCCGAATGCTTGCTGCCAGACTCCCTGCCATGATGATAATGGAATAACTTCTGAAACTGTAAACAAGCCCCCAATTAAATACTTTCTTTTATAACAATTACCTTGGTCATGGTATCTCTTCATAGCAATAGAACAGTGACTAAGGCAGTAACCAAAACAGAGGATGGAATAACTGTTGACTTTAGAGTTTAATGGTTGTTGTCTTTTGTGCCATAAAACTCTCTTTATTTTTCTGGAAAAGCATCTGAAAGGAGCTGTGTCACCTCCTTTACCCCCTTATGGATGCTCCACCCATAACCTTCTGCACATGCCCAGGCTGAGCCACTTGCCAGCTATGAAACACTGGCCTTCAATTTTCTCAACCTTATGTGTGAAAATTTGGACTGTGTAGCAATGAAGGTCTCTTCCTGGACCAACATAGAATCTCTTTTCCGATATTTCTAAATTTCTGTCCTTAAGCAAAACTGATGAAAATCAACCCTACAGCAATAGCTATGAAATAGCATCTGAATAAGAACAGTCTGGTTCAAGATGATTCCAGATCACCTTTCCAGGCTTCCTTATTGGCAGCCTTTCAGAGAATACACCCTCCTCAGTCTTGGCTTCTTTTTACCTGATGCTCAAAGAGAAAGGGTTCTCTACCTACTGTGTTCTTGGGTCAAAAGACACTCAGTGCAGGCAGCTGACACTTAACAGTATAACCAGTGTGTTCTAGCTCGCTGTTAGCACAGAGGGCAAGCCTGACATGAGCACATCACTCTGACCCATCTTGATGTAATTTTTTTGTCTTTGAATTAAGTATCTTTTGCCTTTAATCCCAGCTCTTGGGAGGAAGAATTAGGTGGATCTCTATGAGTGCCAGGCTATCGTAGGCTACAGAGTAAATTCCAAGCCATCCAGGATTACATAGTGAGATCCTGTCTCAAATAAATAAATAAATAAATAAATAAATAAAGGTATAATGTGGTGGTTGGAATAAAAACAACCCCCCATATATTTAAATTTCAGAAGAGGAGAACATATTTTCTTCCTTTGTCCAAAAATCTGCCTGGGGCTAAACTGAAGAGTTTTTATTTAATGGAGTTGGCAGAGATTTCAGCGCAGCTTAGTATTGACTGTATCATCTGTTTATTAGTGGTCACTTTATGCAGATCTATAATGAAAAGGAGCAAGTTAAGCAAGGAAAATTACAAAATGTACAGTTTGAACAGAAAAAAAGAGCACCAGTAAGTGTAATGGAGCTAA